AATCTGTTATTATGGCTGTTTTACAGTATCAATCAATCTATAAAGACTGTTGGATGAGTTATATTCTAATATATTGGGAATGTTTTATAAGAAATGTGCCAAACTGTGTCTTAAATTGAATAAAATCACATCCCTGTGATGACATTGTGACCGGCCTCGAGGCGGCGGCGTTAATCACGATTCACACATTTTTGCAAAAAAACTGACTAAAAGACACGGAGAGGCATTCAAATCAGAAAAAATTAACCAGATTGTGAACATTTAACGGTTTCCTTTAGCTGTGATTCACACGTTTTACCTTTAAAAACACTACAACGACACATGGAAAATCTCCAGGTTTAAACTAAAACTCAAGGTTTTAAAAACACAAGTTAACAGATGTTTAAATATCAGTTTAAACCTGAAGTGTTCCACGTGTCTCAGTGCAGTTATTTGGTGACACGTCAAATAAACTGTGATCGGCTCTCATTCAAAGCTCCGACTCTGTGACCTCTGACCTGCTTGTGTGGATTTCCGCCGGGCCTTCTTGATGTCCTCCTCCGTCTTGTTGCTCAGCTTGATCTCCAGCTGCTGGGTCTTCACCTCCAGATCTTTCTGCCGGTCCGCCAGGGCTTTACGGGACTGTAGACACACACACACACACACACACACACACACACACACACACACACACATATTTTTAGCGGGGCGTGTGAACGCAGACACAATGAGTCATTCAGCATAATCCTCAGATTCACTGTACCTCTACATCTATTACAGGAATCATCACAGCCTTCTCATGCCGCTCTCATCCTTTAATCTGTTCTTAATCCATTGCATTGAGTGTTTCCTCTTGTTAATCTATTTTACTGCGGCACTTCTCCGAAGGATCGAAGGATCGCGGATCGAGTTTGAAAGGTAAACATACAGTAACAGCGATGCCAAGAAAGTCTCTTTGTTTCAAGAGACAACAACGGAAAGAAAAGATGTGGGATGGAGTCAAACTACAACCCACTGATCAGGTCACTAAAGCAGCAGAGCAGAGACGTGTTTGTTTTGGGCTGGAAACACTTTTTATAGCAGAGATAAACCTCAGTGATGGAATAAAAAAAGATGTACTTTTTTATACAACAACTAAATAGAATAAATAAATAGAATCACCATACATTTAAAAACAAAAACAGAATATCATAAAGCTGTTTTGACAATCGGCTGAAATAATGCTGACCATCGCAACATGCAGAAAACACCCAGAAAGTGAATGTGTGTGTGTGTGTGTGTGTGTGTGCAGAGGGAATTCATTCATGATCTGATTTGAACAGGTGGGAGGCTGTAACAAGATACCAATATCTTCCCAGTGTAGGAGCTACTGAAGCTCTTATGTAACTTTGAGATGTAGACAAACACTGATGTGTGTTTTTCTTGTGAAACTAGTCCGTCACTATTTGGAGGGAAACACAGGAATGACGCTGTATCGGCACGCCGGACTCGGTACCTTCTCCACACTGGCGTAGCGGCTGGCCAGCTGCTTCCTGAGGTCGGCGATGTGATGGTCGTACTTCTTCAGGTCCTTCTTGAAGTGGTCTGCCCGGAATGTCAGCAAAGGTTTTTCTACCTCAGTGTGGAGCTGTGAAGACAAGTCGCTCAGCTGTTCATTTAATAATTCTTGTTGTGTCATGTGAAGAAAGCGAATAAAACATCTGCATTCTCTCTAGTGTGCACCAGGGGGCGACTCCTCTGGTTGTATAGAAGTCTATGAGAAAATGACTCTACTTCTCTCTTGATTTATTACCTCAGTAAACATTGTAAACATGAGTTTATGGTCTCAAGCTCTAGTTTCAAGTCTTCTTCAATACAGCATGATGTTCATTTAGTAACTTATGGTCCATTTAGAGTCAAACAGACCATAAAGCAGGGGATGCTTTAGGGCGGGGCTACCTTTTGATTGACAGGTCTCTACCAGAGACGTATATGTATAAAATGCCAAAGTCAAGGCTTGAAAACCTCAGTCCACAAACCAGTGGGTAACGCCACGATGTCTACAGTCGAGGGTTAAAATCACTTCTCAGGGCTTTTTGCTTCATAAATCCTGTTTCCTGTTCTACAAAGTCACATCCATCACCATGAAGGGACACGATTACATTTTAAGTCTCGGTTTCATTTTCTCCCACCAAACACTCCCACAAAGTCTCTTCAATAAGCTGCAGTCAGCAGTGTGGGCTCTCCACGCAGAATGCTAATCTAGTCCAAATGCCAAAACTGGAAGATATAGATGAAGCTTATTAGAAAATGAGCCGGAGCTTCTGCAGGCCAACGCATTACCTTCCCCTCACCCGTCTCATAACGAGGCGGCGGAGCGTCGGAGCACCGGTGGAGCACGGAGGAGGCTGCGGGGCCTCGTCAGAACACGGAGCTAATTAATCAGACAACAGAGGAGCACGAAAGAGCTCCGAGGCCGCCGCCGCTGCGGTATTCGAGGCTGCAGCCGAGGCCGGCGTGCAGCTTCTGCATGGCCGGTAATCGGACCGCACACGGGTCACTTTCTTTCGGTCGAGGTAAACAAGCCCCGACGCCTCAGGAGGATCAAGTATCCATTACTTCAGATGATTGGAAACATTAAACGCTTGACCTGAAGGTGCAGAGAGATGCACACCAATCCACACACTAGTAAAGTGTTCGTGATTTAGAGGAAGCTAAAAAAACGTTAACTTCAGGCATCTTCACACTTAAAGTCTTTACAAATCGATGGGAAAAGACCGTCATAATACATCATTTCTTGCCTTTTCTGATCATCGAGCAGAAACCACCAAGATGTTCAGTTTACCATCAAACATTTTGCTTGAAAAATGTCCGAAACTATTAATCGATCATCCAATCGCTCCATGAATGGAAGGTGTTCAGCTCTCCACAGTAAACCAGTCGTGTCCTCCTCAGACTTTACCTTGTTGGAGAACTTGAGGTGAACTTCCGCCTCATCGTGAAGACTCTTCTTCAGCTGAGTCCAGGCTTCTCCGAGAGTCCTGAGAAAAGACTGATGTCAAATAAATCCTGGAAATATTTAATGTCGTTTGAACTAAAACAGAAAACAGGGAAATACGACACGGTGGCTGTTCTAGTCATGAACAAGGCTTTTAAATGAAACCTGTTTATCTACTGACACCTGAACACTTGTACATCTACTAAAGTACTGCACTTCAGTACAACTTTAAGTACTTGCACTATATTTGAGCATTCCTATTTTATGATACTTTGTACTTTTACTTCACTACATTTCATTGTACTTTTTACTAGTTACAGTACAGTTTATTATTCTACACGTAAAAACACATAAATTTACAAAGTAAGACGCATTTTTACTGGATATAATATCCAACAATCTATAAAAAGTGACAGCATTAAAAGGTTGCTACACATTAATGTATCAGCAAACCACACTTATAAAATTAGAATAAATATAAACAATAATAGATCAAAATAGAGACTCTGAATGATGCCATTTTGAGTACTTTTACTTCTGATACTTTAAGCACATTTTGCTGCAAATAAAATGACTTTTACTTGTAATATAGATTTCCATAAATACCACCGTAAACATTCATGAGCAGTCAGACCAGACAGGCGGACACTTGTGCTGGATTAAAGCCGCTTTATTTTGAAAAGTCAGGCTGTTTACAACGCACAGTCTGGGTTGTAATTTACTGCCAGATAAATGTGATTAACCTGTTGGTTTGAAGGTTGTTTACAACCTTTCTGACCATCTGACCCTGAACATTTCTTATCTTACCTTACCTTACCTTGGTTTGTGCAGGGCCTCCCTCCTCTGAATCATTAAGTGACTAGTCTGTTGTTTTGGGCCGAGTCGAGTAAGATCTACTGTATTTAATGGATTATTCATTGATATGCTTTTTTCACGCTGGATGACTCACTTCCCAGAAACATATGAGCACAAGATCTAAAGTGGTGCTTTTGTGTTTAAAAAAACCCTGATTTATCAACAAATAAGAAGTCTCTGGTGGAGGACAGCCCTGGGTTCGTGTCTCCATTAGTTTCATTTTTATTGCCAAAACAAAAATGTTCTGCAATCGAGGAATCTCCGGAGCTGGAGAGCGACCAAAACACACCGTTTCTTGAGCCAAGCCTCTTTTCTGTCTGCTGATTTTGAGATCTGCTCAAAGATTTTGGTGTTATATTGCTGACAAACATGAAAACACATCCACTGTTTGATGATAGTAACATGGAGAAGTAGTGTGGGTATGAGCTCCTATTCTTAGAGCCAGTTGTTCAGTAAACCGACGTACTGTTTTGCTCTCAGAGCTGCTGTTTACTTCACTCACCCTTCCTCCTGAGCTGCCAGCGGGCTCAGAGACAGCTTGGAGAGGTTCTTGGCATATTCTTCTTCAATCTTTATCCTGAAAAACACAAAGGACAGAGATGTGAAAACCTGAGCTGCCTGGCTCAAAGGCAGGGCAGAAACTGCTTCAGCGAGGAGACGGATTAGTGGTGTATCGTCATCCGTACGGATCCCCTAATTACACAGTTTAACGTTAACCATCAGTGTGAAATAAAGATTTACTGACGATCGTTATCTGACAATATTCAGTCAAAATATGCGATGAGGAGATCGGCTTTAATGCTTTCTGATAACGAACGGAGGTCCATAGAGTTACATTATGATGCCTTCAGGCTCTGTTCAGGGAAAATGAGTATAATTATAATGATGTGTTCACATGTAATCTCCTAAAATGTAGTGTTCGTGAGAAACTTGAATAAATCCAGTAGTTTGAAGGAGATGTTTTCACATTAAAGAGGGAATTATGAGCTGTTTACACTAAGCTCTGAACATCATTGTAAGCAATAAGAATACAATCCTTTATTTGTTTTTCATTTAAATTGTGTGTTTTTATGTAAACAACACTCTCGATGACTGTGACAAAGTAAAAGTATAATATTTAGAGTTTCTCATCGTTTACATTTACTTCAGTGCGTTGAAATGATTTTTGTGACGGTGAAACATCGTCTGGATCCTTGTACACCAGCTGCTATAATCAAACAAAAGACAACAAAGGCATCTGTATCTGCCAACGTGGACCATCAATGATGGATAATTAATATCAGCCGCAGAAAAGCGTGATCGGGGATCTCTATGAGTTATATTTGCTCCCTTTTTCATTTACTCCTGATCATCCTTGACTCCGATCCGTGAGCTTTATGATGTGTTGCACCTCTAACACGGATCATCTCAGAGATGCACTGCAGATTGAAGCTTCCACCACAATTCACTGCTGAGGCTGGAATCCAGCCGTGACCCCTGAACATCAATCATCCCCTTCGTACTTTGTGTGACATTCACTTCCTACACCGGACTCACATCCACCATCCACACCTGAGTAAATCTGTCACCTACAGAAGGTCGCGAGGCCCATTCTTTGACTGAATGTTTCAGATTCTCAGCAACACGGAAAGGTCAGCGCTGAATAGAAACCTCACTGAGGGATTTGGCCTCTTGAGTTTATTCAGAGAAGAATCCTCGTTAACTTCCCACCGCAGTGAATAGAGCTTCGGTTAGAAGTGGGCGGAGCTGCTGCCATAGAGAGAGACATGGAATCGGATGTGAAACTTTTCACTCAACTCCTAATTATTCATGTAGTTTATTGACATCCTGTTGCAGACTCAGTGGGAGCCAAAACAATCAATGCACTTCCTGTGTGCTCAGCGGAGATCTGAAGCCCCTTTAGTTACTGAGTTCAAGCATCGATTACAGCTGAGAGACAGAAGCTCTGATCCCTACGGACCCGTTATCAACTCATCATTTATAGAAAGAATAAAAACCTGTTTTCTTTCTGCCTCCTTTCAGAGGATTTCTCACAAACAGCCTTGAGATGTTGTTAATGTGTATAAATAATATAATTTAAAAAAATAAACTAATAATCAAGAGAAATATAAAAAGTAACCAGACTTATTCTTCATGAAATGAGGTCGCTGACATAATTACTGATCTCCCGACTTTGTTTGTTGTCATCAGTCTGCGTTACCTCTCGTGGATGAACTCCGACATCTCTTTCTGCATCTGTTTGCCCTTCAGCTGCTTCTGCAGGGGGACCTCGAACCCCGCCACCGAGGTGGTCCCCTGGGGGTCCTTCTTGTCGGTCTGAGGAGGAAGAGGAGGAGGAGGAAGAAGATGAGTAAGAGGAGAGCATCACTCAGCCGATAAACAAACCACATAGCGTGCAGAAACGCCTCTGTGCTGTATGTTTGAGAGCATGTAGGGGGGTTTGTGAGAAAGAGCTCTGAATGTGTGACTCACACTTACATGTCAAGGAGGACATGCGTTGGTGTGTGTGTGTGTGTGTGTGTGTGTGTGAGTCAAGCACTGTGGGATGGATGTGCAGCGCTTTGTGACAGGACTGATGTGGGTCAAGAGGTGCTAGATTTGATTCCACACAGCAGGTCGTTACAGAACATCAGGACACAACAAGGAGCCAGACAGCAGCAGCAACAACAGAGGAAACGGGGGGTCGGGTTTCACTCACTGATGCAGCTGAAGGCTTTTACTATTCAAATCTAATTCAGGATGGAAATGTCCGGAGACTGACATGAAGATGACATTTGAAGCAGGATGATCTCTGTGTTTGCAGAGAAGCCGGTCGATTGTGCCTTCATGTTAAATCCATTTGTTTTATTCACGTAATCTAATGTCAGCGTGAGACGCTTTTAACTGCACTTTAAACAGCAACGATCAACAAAACGTGTTGACAGGAAGCTTCTGCAGCTTTCGGGTCGAAGGACCAAACACAATCATCGTGTACGCAGCAACACAACGTTTTTTGTGGCTAATAGCAAAATCTATATATTGTTTTTTAACATAATAAACATTTTTGATAATGATCCCTTAGATTTATCTTTGGGTATTTCTATTTATGCTACTTTATACTTCTACTCCGCTACAACTCAGAGGAATATTTTCCTTTTAACTCCATTCATCCGACGAGCTTTAGTTACTTTTGTGATTCACTTTCATGATACAAAATATAAATAAACTAATAAATTATGATATATTATTATAGATTCAGTTACCCGGCTGTATGTAAAGTTATTAATATTAGCTCCACCTTTACCAGCTGCATTATTAAAGAGATGAACACATCAAAACAATCCAGTAACATACTATAGATTATTCTGAAATTCTGCATGATGAGTACTTTTAATTGAGGTACTTTAAATATAATTTGATGTAAATACCTTTTTACTTTTACGTAAGTAATATTTTGAATGCAGGACTTTAAATTGTACCAGAGTATTTTTCCACTGTGGTATTATTACTTCTACTTTAAAAGATCTGAATACTTCTTCCACCACCGCTAGATTTCATTTAAATCCTTATATACTATTGTTTAACTTTATAGTCCCACCGTAGTTCCTGTGTTCCAGCTGGACTCACCCAGAAGTAGTCGCAGTAGCTCCATTCGTTGGGCTTCAGGAGCTGCTGCTCCGGACCTTCTCCAGGCAGAGGGAAGGTCACACAGTTGATCTGAAGAGAAACACAGAAGAAGAAAACGAGGATGACGAACCGAGAAGCGAAAGAAAACTACAGATCTGTGACACAGAAGAGGACACGAGGAGTTGGAATGACATCTTTAAAGTCACAGTGGAACAGAAGTTAGAGCTTCATCTTCTGGATTTCACAATAACTCACATATGCTCTCAGCATCGTGAGCATACTGCATTTCACATCCATATTCTGACTTTTTCTGAGCACTACATGTATTATTTTTACAGGAAGAAAAGATAATTGGATGTTTTGATAAAAAAAAATACAAATCATAAATGGTTAAATAAGTGCACAATATGACCGAGGACGTCATCTAAAAGGTTTTAAACGGCTTTTTTAAATTTCATCTTAACTTTAAGAATGAGGGAGCAGAAATGTGTTTCATTTGGACTGTGGTGGAAAGTAACTTTTATTTAAGTACAATTTTGAGGTACTTGTACTTTACTCAAGTATTTCCATTTCCTGCTATGTTGTACTTCTACTCCGCTACAATTCAGAGGGAAATATTACACTATTAATTCCACTACATTTATCTAACAGACATATTTACTGGTTATAAAATACAGCGTGTAAGAGCTGGTTTGGTTTCATCATCAGGTCTCACACTTTTACTGGTAATAATAACAATAAACTTTATTTCTACAGCAGTTTTTAAAACAAAGGTATTTACACGATAGAAATGGCAGAAAAACAACGATAAAAACATTTAAAATGGTTTAAAAGTTAAACAACAATGAGCAAAGAAGTACTTATACATCAAGGTATGTAGTACTTCTTCCACCACTGCATTTGGATCATGCAGACAAGAGGAAAAAGGTCAGGCGTGAGTAAAGGTGACCCGTGAGCCTTCAGGGGGAGAGAGAGACGACTCTGTCCTCTCCAGAACACAGAGAAACCTTTATTACTACGAATAAACTAACTTCACACACTTGAGAATGTGCGGCGCTGCAGATAAATGCAGCCAACACTCGGCCTGAATACAGACTCCACGGTCCACAGCGTCTTCAATTACTCTCGGGGCTGCAATTATGTAACGCTCACCATCTGCGAGCCCTCCCTCATTGGCACCGCTAGAAGCCCTCTGTGCCATGTCAGCTGCTGCTGCTGCTGCTGCTGCTGCTGCTGCTGCTGCTGCACAACCACACGGGCGTCCAGACAGGATGCTTCATCCACCAACACACAGAAACACACACTGAGTCACAGTGTTTGCTGCAAGAGCTCAGCACTGTGCTGCTGTCTCACAGACTGAGGGGGGAAACACGGAGCGCTCACCAGCTGGAGCAAAAAGAACGGCTGCATTATCTTCACTTTCCAATAAAATAAAAAGGTCAGACATCTGAACAACATGGTGCCAGTTCATGTTCGTGTGAGGCTTTACAAAGAATACTGATGGGAAGCGAGACGCAAGAGACGGCGAGATTCTAGTATTTATTTTGGTAAAATTTTGGTAAAATTCGTCAGAAAAATTCTAGTGCAAGAAACTGATGTTTATGACCAAATTACGAACAGTTTATGTGGGCGCTGTGTAATCCGCGTCATGTCCCGCCTCCTGCACGCTCTACCCAAACGTCACCCGCTGCTGAAACCAAACAGAGTATTTCCAGTAGGTGAGAACGCGTCTCCAGTTGTGTGCTACATGTGTGAAAGGGCTCATATAAGGAAACATCTTAGAGTTAAATATTCTCTCTCTTTTAGCTCTATGTTTGGTCTCCACCACCTCCTGGGGAAATGTCTGTCTGTTTAGCTGCTAAATGCTCCACAATGTTCACCAGCTGGTCTCTAACTGTGTCTGTCTGCTGTTTGCTGCTGAGCAGGTAGAGTTCAGGTGGTTTTCACGATGAAAGCAGACAGAGAGAACCAAAGCAGAGATGTTGTGGTCCGGAAACTCACGACAAAGCTCCGTAAAGCCGAAGGGAGCTAAAGATTCAGCTCATAATTCTCTGGTTCATCACTTGCGACCCCTTTCACATCGTCTCATCGTCATTTACATATTTTATTGTAAGTATATTGATTATAGCCACTTACAGAGCAGCACATCAAGCTGTAAACAGTGACTACACTACTATGGCTTTATAAAGTTAATATGGCTAACGTGTTAGCAAACATTTGCCTATTTTTATCCAACAGAGAAGAAGTAACATTATCTTTCATTTGGAGTCGGAAATGCAACTTATTTTTCATTGCTAATACAAAAATATTGATTTGAATTAGACAGAAACAAAACTCAGGTAAGACGTATAACTACACATGAACCACATTACGATTCATCCGTCTCTGAGGTTCTCTTCTCTGCAGCAGCCTCGTGGTGATAAGCTCGGTGCTGCTCTGCATAAAACTCTGCAGCTTCACACATCACTAATATTGAGCTTGTAAAAAAAAAAAAGAAGCTGAACAACCAATAAAACGCTCGACATTGACCTCTTCCTACTCTGCACCGCCACCGCAGCACTTGATCTGAACAGCTCCCGATAAACAACTTCAGAAACAGATGAGTAATACTCGTTCTCCGTCGTGTAATCAGCAGGAATCCAGAGGAAACACCGACATGGCTACTCGCCAAGCGGGCACAGCGATACGACAGGAAACAGCTGAAACGTGCATAAACGAGAGACGCATTAACTCACAGCAACACTTCACAACCTAAAAAGGAACAACAGGGTGATGTACTCCGTGTGTCGACCCGTCACTTTGTTCATTTTCTGCCTCAGAGTTCGTGCTGATTGTCGCGGGCAGCAGACTTTCCATTACGCCGGCTCCACATCTATCACCACTGCTGTTTATCTGCCTCTCACATCCAGCACAAAATGAGACCATTCATCTAAAAGACGGCCGGCTGGCTAAGTCACTCCTTCTCCTTCATAGCCGCTTAGTGAGGGAATCAAATATTGATATAGATTACCTTTATTACACAGCAGGAGATAAATCCTTCTGAGGGATCTGAAGGTCAGCTTTCAGACGTGTACTGCTGCAGCACGCCGTTTCGCCATATTTCATCACTGAAGGACTTTACATGCACACTAATGTTACTCCTGAAACGACAATATTCTGGATTTGATATGGGTCATGTAAACAACATATACCTTATAGATGGGCCTTATTCCCAGTGGAGCATTTCTGATTTAGACGTACGAGATATGCCGATGTTATTCAGGTTTGAGAAGCGTTCCTGTATCTGGGTTTCTGCCCCAGTTTGCAACACAAGGCCTCGTTCCTGTTTACCACCAGCTCTGTGGGTTCAACAAACAAAACAAATTGCCAACAGTTTACAAAGTTGGAGTAGAAAAGCATGCCCAAAAGAAAAGCCCACATTTCTGGTTGGAAGTACAGACACACCTGCTGTTAAACATTATAAAAGAAGTGAGATTTAAGGTATTTAAAGGGCGTAGCATCGGACGCAAGTTGTGGGGTCTGATTTACGTCATCCGCAGTATGATCGGCTGCATGCAAACGGAAATATTAGCGGAATAATCAATTTTGTTAGCCATGTAAAGAGCTTAGTGGGAATCAGGGATGCGCGGTGATGTCGGCAGATAATTATAATCAAATAACGGCATTGGCCACAAATGATAAGATGACGTGTACGCATACCGTTGACGAAGCAGGTGCAAAAAACAAACATTGCAACTTGTGAAACAGGTCAACTTTGCTCTGGTTGAGCCCATTTTCAGGATCGTCTCAGAGACAGAATCGCCCAAGCTGCTTCAGCAGGATCAATATTTCGGTTTTCTTTGCACACACTGCATATAAAACTAGAATGAACGCCTCACGGTTGTTTGTCTTCAGGTCACGGTTAGTTTCCTATTCTTTCCCAGTGAATGTGTACATTTAGAAAAGCACTGTATTCAATGTCTGCTCCTGCCCGTGGGCCAAAATAATTTAATTCCAGGAGAGACTTTATGTTCAATTAGGTTGCAAAACGAGTTAGAAAATACCGTAATTTCGGCAAAAATCCAATATCGTGTGTCTGGAGTATGAATTTTGTCTTTTTTTTGGAATAAAGGGCAAAAAGCAAAATATTCTTTGCACGCAAACGTGGTCAATGTTGCAGTTCAACACAAAGCAAAGCTGCAAGCAACACAAAGGAGTGCAGAGTGGATCGGGACATTTTGTCCTCACTCAGCGTTCATAAACATTCCCTCTCATGGGGGGGGGGGGGTTATATCCAGGCTCCAGGCTGCTTCGTTACACATTTTTATGTTTTTACTAATTTATTTATTTTTGCTCTGCCGAACACAATGGAAGAGTAAACGGCTTCAGAGAGAGAGAGAGAGAGAGCTGGAACACTTCCTCTCTCTCTCAGCAGAAGGTTTCAGTGAATGTGACTGGAGGATGCTCTGCTGCTGTTGCTACGCGACAAATTACTTTTGCTGTAAAAGACCCCGCCCCCCCCCCCTGATCTCCACACACACACACACACACACACACACACCTTCACATAACAAAACAATATCAGAGTCCCGCCAAAGAGACTCTCTTTAACGAGCTGCTGCCCCCCCCTCTCCGAGTGTCTAAACATACGCATCATATCAACAAGTTGAACCACACGTGAATGTTTAATAAGCATCAGAAACCCTCAGAAAGCATCTGCTCTGATTGGTCCCACTCGCTGAAGGTGAGAACAAGGTTGCAGCGGTGTCTCCTCTCTGAAGCGTCGGAGCCTCGTCGTCCTGAGAGGGTCCGTTCATTTTACCAACGACGGTCACGGATGTGTGCGTCTCCATGACAACTGTGGATGGGGTTGTGTAACGCGAGGTTCACCGGAGACGAACACAAAGAAAGACACCGTTTGTGGACTGACGTCATCCGGCCACCGCTTTCGCCTCCTGACTCTGTGTTGATCTTTGCAGCAGAAAGGTTTAATATTCACGCACGGCTCCTGTTTACTGGACTGAAGGCTGACATCAGATGTATTCATCAGAAACACTTCTTCTCTGCTGTTTATTTGGGAACTAATTGAGAATCTGACAAGCAAAGAGTCAAACACAGATTCCTGAGAGCGAAGAAAGCTTTGAAAGAGAAACCGTACGTCAGACGTACGTCTTCAGTGGACCCCCCCCCCCCCTCTGTTTTCCATTTCAACACCCATTAATCAGTGCTATTGCTTTTGTCACCATGGAAACTGGACTTGCTGCGTCTCACAGGTCTGGTGCGTTGTTGGTTTTTATTATTTATTTTCCTTCACAATAGGCTGACGGCTCCCGCGGCTGCAGCAGGTCAGCGAGAACAAAATCAGACCCTGTGAGACACAAAACCACCTTTGTGTGTCTGTCTCACCATCATCACCACCACCACCATCCTCATCATCATCACACGGTCGCCTTCCCCCTCCACTCCCCCACTCCCACAGTCATCATTACACCAGGTTACATAACCACAGCTTCTGTCTGGGCATCTTAAGACAAACACACTTTGACATGTGATCCTCCTCAGTGTTCTGTAATGAGCCTCATCACCGGCTGAAGACGGACGAAGGACCCTGCAGCTCAAATACTACTGTAGTCAAGGGGGGGGGGGGGGCTCCTCATAATGCTGCTGTGTGTGACCTGCACTGCCCTACAGATTACATGTGGAGGGGGGGGGTACAGAATCACACAGAGCAACAACTCGATTCTAAAAATACCAACAACCGTCTCCTGATTAGCTGCTTTTCACTTTACATTTAAAATCTGCCGGAGAGAAAAGAATGAAACGCATTTGAGTGTCTCGAGAGCGGAGCGTTAATTCCTCTCTGACGAGCATTAGATCAATATTATGGATCAGGTCAGTCAGTCAGTCAGTCAGTCAGTCAGACGTCTCCCGGACAGCTTCTTCATTCAGACTAATGTGGAATCCAATATGCACGGGAAACCCACGATACTCCAACGAGATCCCACAATGCATTATGCTTTGGGCTTGAGGACGATGTCAACAGATGATAGTAAAAAAAGATGAACTTATTTCTGCCCCATGAGGAGACTCAAGAGGATGGAGAAGAAGAAGAAGATGAAGAGGAGGATTAAGTTGGTACTCACTGTGATCTTGGTCTCCTTGACCTCCTTGATCTGCCTCTTGGCCGGCGATACGGAGCCGGGGTGCTGCGGGGTGAGACAGGACGGATCGTCAAAACTCTCCTCAGTGTCAAAGCTGGCTTCCATCATCATCCCTCTCACCTCCTCCTGATGCTCTATTCTGGGAAAGCCTCACTCTCCTCTCTCTCTCTCGTCTCTCTCTCTCCTCGCTCTCTCTCTCTCTCTACGCACCGAGGCTGCCTCCAGTCTCACAAGCTACAGAGCGAGTGGAGAGGAGTCGTGTTGCAAAGAGAGGGGGAGGAGATGTGAAGCGTTGGGGAAGGTAGCGTTAGGGGTGAGGAGGGGGAGGGTCGTAGGGGGAATCTGTGGCGGCAGCGCGAGCGTGACGAAGTCTAGCCTCCGGTTAAGCTGCTGTCACACGAGTCTTAAGGTTGAAGGCTGCGAGGAGATGGATGCTGCCCGCGAGGGACTCTGACCTCCACCCCTCACCCAAAGATGTCCATGCAAAGAGAGAAAGAGAGAGAGAGAGAGAGAGAGAGAGAGAGAGAGAGAGCGAGAGAGAGAGAGAGAGAGAGAGAGAGAGACCACTGAGCCAGCTCATGGATGGAGAAGCTGGAGCGTAAAGGCGAGGATGAGGGGGAGAAAAGAAAGAAAGCATAAAGAGATAGTAAAAGGAGGAGGAGGAGGAAGAAGAGGGGGATTTATTTACATGATCCCTGCCACACCTCCGTCCCCAGAGAGAGGCAGATAGTGTGGGAGGAGGGAGGAGGAGCAGCAGCAGCGGTGGTGGAGGTGTTTGTGATGGGGGTTGGTCTGATGGAAATGGTTGAATGATTATCTTTAAAAAGACTCATTACGATTGGGAGGAGAGAGGAAGGAGAGAGGAAGGAGAGAGGAGGGAGAGAGGAGGGAGGACAGGCAGCCAATGAGACGAAGCCTCTCTGATTATGTGTTCGATCAAAGGGGTTATAAAAGTGTGTAAGGAGACAAATCAGGAACTGTGTCGTACAATGTACTGCACAACGTTGTGCATCTAAATGTGCGCGGCGCGGCGCGGCGCGGCGCTCGTGTTGACAGTAAGTATCTGTGCTGCATCTCTGTCGTACGACGGAGCTTCACCCGAGGATTCAAACACGAGCTGCAGCCCTCACACCTTCTCACGACACCCACCTGGTCCAACGACACCGACACAGCCAGAACAACAAAGCCCCCCGTTCTCACCTTCGCCGCACAGAACATGGCGGTTGGGCAGCTCTGACCACCACAGTCCCGGTCCAGGTTTTTCGTGATCCACGCGTGATCCCAGCACTCCCAGTGTGAGCCGCTACCGCCTCGGCTGGCTCACTTTCCAAAAACTGACAAACTCTGACAAGTGGAATGCAGATCTCAACTGCCCATATGGCACCAAGTGTCCGTCCATCTATACTCTCCTGCGATCAGGGCTCGGTATGTCCTCATCCGATTCGGAGTTAGTCACGTGGGCTGGCATGTAAGCGGCGTTGGCCCCGGTCCATCAGAGCGGCGGGAGCGGCCCTGCTTTCAGCGGACAGAGCAGCTTGTTATCGAGGAAAAACTGTTTCCAGATTGTGAACAGAAAATGTTGTTTACACGAGAGAAAGTGTGGATTCGATTTGGACGAAATCTGCTTCAGCTATCACAAAATATCGAGGTGATGTCTTCAAGTTGTTTTTGTCTGACCAACACTTCATATCCCAAAGATATTCAGATTACAACTATTTAAAAACAGAGATATTTCTTCAGATTTGAGAAGCTAGAAACCGAAAAAGTCCAGCATTTTTACTTGATACACGACGTAAATATATTGTCAAAGTTGCTGTTGAATCATTTTCTGTCGATCTTCAAATCATCATTATTGTTTCAGCACGACATAAAAGCCTGAAGAGAAAGAGCTTCATCGATATGTGATGTGCCACACGTCACTCGGGATGCACGGTAATATCGGCACCTCATCTATCGGCAGATAAAGACCTTCAAATGAAATATCGGCATCGGACAGAAATAAACACTTCCTCTAATATGATGCGTGTGCACTTGTGACACAAACTGTTGAAGAAGCTGGGACATGCTCAGCGTATGGCATGCAAGGAGGAGCCAGATCACATTCCTTCAACGCTCAAATTTAATTACCCATCTGAAGAGCCGTCATGTCGACCATTACGACCAATTTGTGAAGGACGGACGCACACCGGCAGCCTTTCCTCCGGTCCTTTCATACACGGCATGTTATACAAGTAACCTCAGTTCAAGTAGTTTTCTGATTTTGCCCAGAAGATGTGTACATTTTGAAAAGCCTCACAACAGCAGCAGTTATAATATGTTAATCCCACTACAGGAGAGACTTCTCTGCAAGTAGGTGTAAAATAACTGCGTGTGTGTAACGGTATCGTCGAACAGACAAAATGAGCTGAAAAATATATTGGATATTTGGCAAAAATCTAATATTGTGCATCCCTTTACGTAACAGATCTCAGATAAACAACACAAACACGAGACTGTCCTCACAAGAAGAACAGCAGTTGCATCGGTCGTTACAGCAAATCACAAAATCGATGCGTTTTCGTTTAAGTGACAACTCCTCCGGCGGTGGAAGTAATTATGGCGAGAGGAAAAGAGGAAGTGAGGAGACGTTACAGTCCACAGAAGGAGGAGGCTGAGGTGGACGGATGAAGACAGTCTGGACCTCTTTGTGTGCACACAGAGCAGAAGGTTCTTAATGCTGACTAGTCTCTTTAGGCTCACCTGTTTGGTCCCGGTGGGTTTCCTCAGAGCAACATCAGCGGCCTCTGTGTGCTGACCGTTGGCTGCAGACAAAGCAGATTATAAACACACATTCGTGACGAACCTGACAGGAGTCTTTACTTTTGTTCGATAACTTCACATAAATGAGCAGGAGGGGAGAAGATGTGACATCCTAATTTTGGCGAGTACTCGCTGTGGTTCAGCCTTTTCAGAGGAGACACAGACTCCCTCACACGAAAATCAAGACTATTTCATGCAGATATTGTTACATTTAAAGGGCGATTTTAAGGCCAATTTTCCAGTTTGCAGAGTACGATATCTCTTCCCAGATCCATATCACCACATATTGAATGACTGTCATTAATGAGCCGGCTCCCGAGGGGATCACAGCTCTGAGGAGACGTCCCTGGTTTCATCCTTTAGGCCCTTAATGGTTCCGCATGACCTGTGATTCATGAGCTGTCTGCTCGTCGCACATCAAACCGTCCCATCTCCAGCTGACGGTAAACACGTGAGCCCGGCACAATGAGACCCCCGAGGCCACACGACACAGCCGTGGACGCCGGTCAGAGCAGGACCAGATGAACCGGGCCGGCTCCAAAAATAACAATGACTGTCCCTTTGCTTAAAGGGGACATTAAGACATCCACGGCCTTTCTTTGACCTCCGTTACTCCACAGAAAAATTCAACATATATACACCATCATATACACCATCATATACCTGTGATGCAATGATTGTTGCCTCACTATTTCTCTCTCTGTGGAACCAGTTGGTTAAACCTTCTGCTTCCTGTCCAGAGGTTTTTAGGAGACGTCCAGGCTGTTCACCTTTAAACTGTCTTTCATTACTCCTCTCTCTCTCTCTCTCTCTCTCTCTCTGAGGAGGATCACACTTGTCTGTCCCTCTAAGTGTGTTTAGGCCACGTGCCAGCAGAAAGAAGAAAACCATCTGCTATCTGCTGAGACGTCGTTAGCGAGGATGCTGCCAGCGATGAGACATAATAAGCCAGTCATTAAGAAAATGTAGGATTTCCATCCAGTAGGGAGACTTCGTGATGATGCAGGACACAGCAGAGAAATGAATTACAGAGGATTTGTCAAAGGTTTTGTTTAAAAAACTAAAAAACCTTCAGGGCAAATGTGTCTTAAGTCTCTTGGAAATTCTTGTATTGTGTCAGTTAAACTGCTCAGCTGAAGGAATCTAGTTTTAGGATAATAAGTAGATTTACTACTGCTGACACCAACAGGCTTAATCTGTTGACAAATTAAGTTAAGACCTGTGGCTCCAAATGCTGTCTATCTTTGTCACTCCTAACGTCTTAAACCTTATCACCTCACGCTATGCTTCTTGTGCTGTTGTTTTGTTTTCTACACGTTAGAAATTAGTTTCAGAAGAAAAGCGCGTGGCTGAGCAGATAAAGGCTCAGTTTTACCATATGGTGAGGCGTTCTGTCGTGCCAGCGGTCTCTGTGGGGCCTCGGCTGACGAGGACGGACGCCGCCATGTTGTTTCTGGAACGAGACAAACGACAGCGAGGATGACAGCTGAAAAAGGAAATGTGCCACACGTTCACACATCATCAGCTCCTCCTGCACGTTGATGTTTCTCTGCAAAACCTTCATCTACACTTTGGACTAGAGGCAGTCGTTTGATGTAGAAATGCACTAACTTTCCTTTTTTTTGAGAAATGTTCTGAGTTAATTTGGGTTAAATGGGAAAGTATGTATGACCCTTCTTAAGTCATTGTATTGTAACTTTTTAAAAATTAAGTATTATTTGCATTTTTAAAGTTGTGTGAGACTTATTTTCAAGGTGCTCGTTTGAATGAATGTAAACAACAAAAAAGAAATGTGCTGAGCACATTCATGCTCCTCAGGGGATAGACCTTCTCCATTTCAGACGCTCTGTGAGACGTTTTCTAGCTCAAACTTCAGGTCGAAATGTCATCTTTGCACACAAATGATGTCAAAATCAAATGACAAGTTCTGCACACATTCATCCTCACAGGACAAACCGTCCTGATTTTAATTATGGTCCAGAATAAACCTTTTAATTTGTGGTTGTAATGAAAACACAACGCCCACAGACTCCCTGTGCTACCTGCAGGATATTTGGTCCTTTTATTGTGATTTAACTTGTCGTATGCTTCTTTCCGGTCCAATTTAAGGACAGGAAGCCTAAAATGTCCCTTAAACTCTCAAATATCATTCACTAGAAATAAAAACCTTTAACCTTGTTGTGACAGCACTTCAGGTAAAGTCACAGTAAACTTTATTTCCTAAAAAGCTTGTTGTTTATGTGTGTAGACCCTCCTGCATGATTTCCAGCTCGCCTCCTGTTCTTTAGTCGTCTATCACACAAAGTAATCAGGAATCATTCCACTTAGTGGAGCAGGAAGTCCTTTACGCTCTTACAGCTGCGGGTGAATCGCTGTCGCTCTGCGGTTCCTCAAGTGCAAACTCAAAACACAAATGTTCAAATGTGTGTGATGGATGGAAAGATGAAAGTCAAGAATCGTGGACATTTGTTACTATTTTACAGACAAACACTGAGGATCAACATGTTGATCTACTAATCACATCACACCGCTGTCACTTCTGATTTGTAATTCTGTCTTTAATTGCTCTATTTTGACTTCTTATATTTGTTTTAAACACTTCTCAATAAAGGCTTATTTTTCCTATAGTCTTCTTGTAAATAGTTTATTGTTTCTATCATATTAACTGCTACTTATTGCTTCGAAATTATATCAAATGTCTTCATACACAATCACATTTTTTGAGCCTCAGTTCCTGCTTTGCAATTGTTTTTCCTGATCGCTCCAAATCCCACCGTCATATTCGCAGCCACAAAGGGATTAAGTGGAAGGATTTCAACTGATCCTCAATATTGTGCACTTCCTCCATTAAATGACGAAAACAGCAGCTTTCTAATAAACACTGTTGGCATCACTCACACACACACACCCTCACACACACACAGCTTTTGAAGTTCCACGTTCAGACACAAAACAACAAACTGTAACAAAATGAAAAGTGACTGTTGCAGCATATGGCTGCTGAATGTAAAAATAGCTTTTGGGTGTTTTGTTTTTTTTCCTGCTCAGTGTGTGTGTGTGTGTGTGTGAATGTGTGTGTGCGTGAGGGTGTGTGTGTGTGTGTGAGTGTGCAGTGAGCCAAAGTGGATTCACTGCCAGAGATGTTGTTGATGCCGCCTTTCATCAGTCCCGTGGGAGTCTGTTTTATCCCCAGTGGATTTATTCCCAAATCAAGTGTAAAACGCACG